AAAAACTATACTCCTTACCTAATTGGTGGCACGATTGGGGTAGGTTTAGCGGCATTAGTTATAATTAGTTTTTGATTGCTAAAAAAGCAAAAAAAGAATAAATAAAAATAGTTGATATTGCCATGCAAATCGATAAAATTAATATTAAACCCACTCCACCTAAAGAGAATAATAATTTATGATGAAAGACCGCAAGAAGCAAAAAAACTCTCAACTAAACTAACCTTAGGAAAAAAAGAAAGATTAATTCGTATTGGTTGTTTCTATAATAAACTCCCCGAATTAGATATTTCGGGCTGTCCTAAATTAACTCTTTTATACTGTGAAAATAATGAATTGACTTCTTTGGATGTTTCTCATAATCCATATTTGAAAACATTTCACTGCCTCGATAATTCTTTGACCCATCTTGATGTCTCTAATAATCCCAAATTAGTCGAATTATATATTGACTACAAATTATTAGACAACATAACCGGTTTAGAAAAAACTTCAATTGTCCGGTTAGATTGCCGGGGGGGAGGTATGTGGCAAAACAGAAATGCCCCCTTTATTTGAAAGGTTTTTCTCAATAAATATAATCAAGCATTCCCCGAAATGAAATTAATTAATGTGGATGATTTGACAGAATGGGCTGGGCAAGTAAATGAAGAGACGGTGAAAGATGAAAAGTTTTTGGCAAAGGTTTGTCCTAGTGGAGTCGGGGAGTTTATTAAAAGGTACAAAAATAATGTTTACTGAATATTAGACCAAATAACCAACTCCATTTTAGCCCGTTGTCTCATTATAATAAATCGTCTTTATACTAAAGCCAAAGATGAAGAATACGAACAACATTTGGAAAACTTAGCCAAACAGAGTTTAAAATGTATGTCAATGAACCCCAAATATCCCCAGGCCTCCTTATACGAAAGCCGGGCTAAATTAGTCCAACAGGCTCTTACTCCCGATTATGAATTATTAGAAGTATTGGCCGACCTCCCCTATATCTCCCCATGAGTAAAAGAACAATTAAAAACGACCACTAACTCCCCAGAGCAAAGCCAAACCGACCAAACGGAAATTAACAAATGAGATAAGATAAAGGATGATATGGAAAGAGAAAATAATTGTGGTCGTTTAGCGAATGGAGGTTATTGAGACGAACAAATCCAAACTTTACTGGATGGCAAATTGC